AAGCACCTACTCTTCTTGTGCGTTCTTTTCTACGCACGGTCTTTCCTAGCTATGCAGAGGCTCGCACATTGCCTATGGTAGTGCACTGAAACCTCCAAACTGTATTTTCTGCCTCCCTGTCCAGGTTTCCTTAGGATGTGTGCCTCTTGCTTGGTGAATCGTAGGGGCTCATGGATGTTTCCGATGGATTTCAACTGGGGCCTTTCCTTTGGAGAGAATCCTTCTGTTTCTTATCTAGTGATTTGAGCTGTTGTTTCCTCCTCGCTATTGGGCTGCTAACCCTCTGAAACATAGAAGCTCCCTGTTCGTCTTTTGCTGCAGACTCTGTGGAAGATCTCAGACAAGCTGCCTCTGACAGATGGCCCTTTGGCCTCCACTTGAATCCTTCCAGCGCTCTGTGAGGCAGTTTGCTCTACTGCTGGACAGCTTCGTGTTGAAGGTTATCCTTTGTATTCCTCTCAAACTGAATTTTCCATCCTTTCAATTGTAATATTTCCAGTGTTGTGTCTTTTGGAAAATTATACTATGGCTTACACATGTCTTATCCTCAGACACTTGACAGTAGCATGAATTTGCCCTCTCCCTACTGTCTTCTGACTTCGTCTCGCTGTGTCTCATAAACAGCCTTGCATACTCATTCTTTGTACTCTCCACACTCTTAGATTACTATGTAATTTTCTGTCATCCCATTCAACTCTAAGACCCTTCACTCTCCCTTCTCTTTCTCTTCCTCCTCCTTCCCTTAACTCTCCCTTCCTCCTTCTCCTTCTTTTCTTCCTCCTCCTCTCCTCTTCCTCTTTTTCCTTTTCCTCTTCCTCTTTTTTGCCTTCTTCCTCCTCCTCCTCTTCCTCCTCCTCAGAGGATACAAGGGACAGGAAGAAGTTGTGGATCTCAAAGCTAAGGTATTATTTCTAGTATCACACTTACTAGATGTGTATGAACTTGTTTAGATTACTTAATTTTTGTAAGCCTCAGTTCCAAGAAGCAATGTGGATTTAAGAATGACTCCTAAAAATCTTTTTAAGGATAAATGTATATAAGATGTTTAACTGAAAAGGTATATTTAATAAATACCGTATAATACTTTTAATAATTTAAGTTTATTGTGGTACAGGCAATTGAACCCAGGACCTTTGCACTGAGCTACATCCCCAACTGTTTTGTTTGTTTCTTTGTTTTGGTTTGGTTTTGGTTTGAAAATTTGGATACTGAGACTCACCAAATCACTGAGTTGTTGAGGCTGACCTCAAACTTGAGATCCTCCTAGTTCTGTCTCCCAGAGGGCTGGGATTAGAGCTTTCTGCTTTAATATTTAAGTTTTTGAATGAAGGTTGATTTTTCTTTTAAAATTGTTTATCGTGTATATTGATAAGATTATATATATTAGGTAATGTAAGATTAGTATATTAATAAGATAAGATTTTATATATATCTATTAGTTAATTGATTGTCAACTTGAGTAAGAAACGCCCAACTATATTGACTCAGCATAATTCTGGGTGTGGAAGACTCACCCTGGGAAAGATTGTCACCAGAATGGTGTTAAAGGGAAACGAAGAAGGAAGAATCGCTTCTGTGCCTTTGGAAGGGCTCCAAAGTTGGAGCTTGAGGAGTGCCTTATATTTCTTCTGCTCGGGATGTCTGATGTCTCTCATTTAATTTCTAGATTATAAATTCCATTGATAGAACTCTTATAAGCATCACATTAAGAAGTTGAGCATTACCTTTAGGCCACAGCAATTTACTTTTTAAAAATTTGATTAATTCCAACACAATCAGCCAGTATGTCAGATGATTTCAGTACCTCAGATCGATGCTGACAGGTGAGGAAATTAAAATCAGGGAGGGAAGCAATTAAATGCTGACAAACATTACTTTAATGAGACAACCAAATCCTTCCTAAGCTGGGGAATGTGTTCTATTCCTGGTAAGTATCTCAGGGTGGTGGTGAGAAGCGTATTTAGAAATGTTCTTTGTGTGCGTTTTGATGATTGGCGTTGAGGATATTCCGTGTTCTAACCTATCAGCCCGCTTCTGGGGTCAGACATGTACATTTAAAATTATATCATCTTTCAATTTAACAAGATCTTAGTATAAGTAATCCTCTCACCACCCCTGATGCTATCTCCGGAAACTTAAGAAATTGCACAAAATTTAGATAGAGTAATTCTTGGTCTTTTCACAGAGGTTTAGAAACAACCATGGCCAAAACTATGGAAAGAGAAACAAAAAAATGTGTATTTCATACAACTTCTGATCAAAAGTTGCCTTGGCTAGATTCAAAGTTGTGATCCTCCTGCCTTGGCCTCAGAGTAGCTGGGATTACAGGTGTGTGCCACAGCCCCTGACTCTCTTTGCTGTTTACGAGATAACACCCCCTATTAAGAAAGAACATCTGGGACAGGAGGATTAAAGAGTAGCCGGTTTATTGACTGTAGTGGAGATTTTTACAAGGCTCCATCACATTGTTCATTTGTATTATAGCACTTGTAAAATATCAAGTATTATAAGTTACAGTTATGCTGGTCTAATGCCACTTAGAAATTTTGTTCATAGTATTAGGATTATCATACTAGGGTTGCATTATTTTAATTTTTTCTTTGAATGTGACAATAAATTCAAGATACCCTGGTTTGTGAAAAACCCAGGGTAACAAGTCTCTGCTGTGTCCATTTTCATTGTCCTTCCTTTCTTTTCTGCTTTTTCCTTATCCCTTATCATTTCCCTTGTCTTATTTCATTAGCTTCATGTATTCTGTCCTATTCTTTTCCAAAATACGCAGAAATTAATAACCCTATAGCAGTCTCAAGTACATTTGCTGAGTGTGGGTTTGCACAGATTCTAACTCATAGATTGGAACTTTACAGGTTGAAGACGGGTAGTACAGATTATTTTTGGCTGAAATCTCTTCTGGAAATGAGTACATTTTTCTTGGGAGAAGAAGGATGGTTTGGCAAAGGATGTAGCCATGCCAGGTTCTGGGTCAGCAGTTCTAAAATACACAGAGGCAGCCAGGGATATCTGGCTTCATTACCAGGAGGCTCAAGTGGGATGTGTCAGTTGTCCCGGATGACTTTATGGGTTATGAAATGCTCAGGAGCTACCCATGACTCTCAAACTGTGTGAAGAAGGCCGGCGAACTTAAAAACTTTGTGGTGCAGACTCTTATAGTTTCATGGCTTGTGTTTCAATACTTTTCCTAAGGATGTTTCATCTGTGAGACTTCACTGGGGAGAGCAGAGAAAGTGTCCCTGGTAGCCCCGCATGCAGTGCTCCTTCTGCTTCTGCTCGGTAAAGTGTCACCTTCAGTTAGACCACAGGTGTGAGGTCTTCTCCCTCTCCTTTCACTTGCCCGAGAAGTAGAGCCCAAAATGAAATGTGCTTGATGCTTGTGCTTGACAATTTGGACAGTGTAGTGCTTGGACAATGGAAGTTTGTGTTTCATATATTTGATTTCCATTTCCTGAAGTTAATTTGCTCGCTCCAAATAGCATGCTCTCGATTGGGAGGGCACATCCTGTAGGATGCCTACAAGTTTCAGTATCAACATCCAAGACTGAAGTTTTATCTGCTCCATCTTAATCTTGTGATCTTTGAAGTCTGGTTTCTGTATTTGTAAAATTGGAGTAATAAGTTTTCATCGGAGTTATTTAATGAGGGTAACTTGAGATCTACCGACCATGTTAACATTTTCCAAACTATAAAATTAACTTTAATATTGAAAGATGATTAAGGGCTTGACTTTGGTGGCTGATGGCAAGTTTCTTGCAGGACATTTTATCAGTCGTGTTCTTTGCCTAATTTTATTTGAGTTTTTTAATGAAAATTGGGTATTTCAGTAAAACTTCCACAAAGTCTTCTACTTTATAATAAATCTACTCATTAAAAAAAATTTCCCTTTGTTCTTGCTGTTCTTTTGGATGCTCTACCTTTTTGAACCTAACACATGATTACAGGCACAAACTTCAGAATGATGTTTGAGTCATCACCAGGTTTTCTCCAGAAGTTATGACTCTTGCTTTCTGGGAATTGAAGGGATGTTTGAGTTTTTAAAAAAAAAATTTGGTACCTTGCCTTTCAGGACAAAAGTTATTTATGCTGTTTGTTGTTAGATGGCATGTTGTGATATTGACATAGGTGAACGTGGTAGTTTGAAACTAGGGAAAAGTAATAAAACAAAATCCCCCCCAAACACATTCTTCAGCATTGTGCTCTTGAAACATCATCATCTGATCACATACACATAGGCTTACAGGAAGAAATGTCATCATTTTGTATGCTATCTCTACAGATATGGAATAATGGGGAAAAAGCTTAAGATAATTTTGGCTATGAGTTAGATATTATAATCCTCATTTACATATAAAAGTTGTTACTGAGCGAGTTTAAATAATTTGTCTACTACCCAAGGTAAGAGGGCAAGTCTGGCTCTAATGCCCCCTGTGCTTCTCCTGTTTCCTAATGCCAATCAAATAGCTGTTTTTTTGTTTTTTTTTTTTTTAACTACTCCTGCTCCACCACACTGTATGGACCAAATTCATTTGTTGTTGGTCTTGTGTTTTCCCATCCTAATAACCTAGGAGAAGCTAAGAGGGAAAGATGGATCAATGTACCATTAGGCAGAGCTCCTGGTTTCAAACTCGCACTCTGCAATCTTCTGTGTACTGTTTAGTCTTGGGCAAGTTACTCGCCTTCTTTGAGCTTCACTTCTCACATCTATACAATGAAGATGGTAGTGCTCATTTCACATAGTGCTTGAGAAGTTAATGACAAGAGATACTTGTTTCCTTCTCATTTGTTCTGTCCCTCCACAAGCTTCTGTTTCTGTAATCTGTGAGTGAAATACATCTTTCTTATTTCTTCACGAGGACACTGAGGGTGAAATGGTATAATGAGTGTGGGAATGTTTTATAAAACAAGAAACTGCTATCTACATGCAAAAGGTTATGAATAAAGCGGGTTTAATGCTCAAGTGTAACCCATACCTATTTCATTTACAGACAGTGCCATTTCATTGGGTTGAACTGTGTGTCTACTGCCCTTTCTTAAGAGCAAGCTACCTGAGGTAAGAGAGGACTGGCATCTTCATGTTGATGAAATAAATGATAATAGGCTTCTGAGGCAATAATGTTTAAGGTTAATTTTATTCTCCATAAAAGAAATTCAAAGATATTTCATGATCAACTAAACCTGAAAAGTGTTCAGGACAGTGACCTGTCCTCTATTTGTTTCTGCATGATTTAATTTTTTATTTTGGACCAAGAGTTGAAAGGACCGGGAAGGGATGGGAGGGATAGGGTATGAAAAAAAATTAAGATGTGTATGTACACATACCAACGGTCCAAGATAAATGTAATCAGTATGTACTTCAAACATGAAACGTATTTTTCCTTTCAATTCTTACCTCTGAAGTTTTAATACCAAAAGCACAAAAATCTGGACAATACAGAAGATTCATATTTGATGGTTATTTAAGCGTCCATAGTGTGCTGTACTAGGACACTTGAACCTGTTGTTTCATTCCTCAGCTAGCACATGGCAGTGGGTTTTTCCACCCAGTTTCCTTGCCCTTCATTGTGTAAATTCTTCATTATTCTAAGCTGCCAGAATTGCCTGGTTCTGAAGGGACCAAAACATTCTAGTAGGGTCAATCACTTTCTTTTACCTACTCAACAAATCATATCAGAGAGATACAGTGCAAGCTTGCAGCAACAGCTAAAAGATCCAATAACACAAACTGAGTTAGGGATTTTCGAAGTCTAGGAACCATTGCATCTTCTTACCACACTACTGGGGGACCCGTGCAAAGACCATAGGCCCTTGGCAGAGGCCTAGATTCACCCCGAGTTGGCCAAGAAAATGGAGGCCGAGGAAAAACAGTTAAGAAGCATCAAATGGTAAAATTGGCAAAACACAATTTGTTTTTTCTGCAGTTAACTTGCTGATTTCTGCATCTCTTAATGAATTCTTCTCTGTTCTATGTAATCTTTTAGAAGTATTAACTTTAAATGGGCAACACAGTCAGTATGTTGTTCCTAAATGTAGTTCTTGCAGCATGTAACTTTGTAGGATAGTTGATATTATTATTTAAAGTCCTGTAAACAAACATTCTGCTGCATATCATATTAATTCCTTTGGTATACTTTCTCTGTGATCTTGAATTGATTCTAACTGTACAGACCTTGGGAAAAGTGAGGTTGATTGATATTGCCCCATAGTCATAGGGCTTTTCTTGGTACCAGGAATCGAACTCAGGACCTTACCCTTGCCAGGCAGGTGTGGTGCCACTGAGCTACATCCCCGGCCCCACATATTCATAGGTCTTAACAACTTAGAATCGAAGAGCAATTATGGGTGTTAGGTTTGTGTGATTTTCAGAGCTAAATTTCATCATGTATATTAAATAAGAACATGTCCCATACCAACAAGTAGGTACCGTATGAACTGGGAAACTTCTGTAGTTACATTAGGCATAGCAGGCACTTGTTAGATTTTTTTTCCCCCTCATTCCTACCACAAAGCCCATACTAAGAAAAAAGTACAGGCAAAAAACCCCTTCCAAAAACAAAAAACAAAACAAAAATAGTTTCAGCCCATCTCTAGTCCCACTGTTGCCTACAGAATGCTCCTGCAAAAACTCTTTTAAACATCCTATTTTCATGGGTAAATGTATCAGTAAAGAATGTGCTATCCATGTCTCCTATCATAGTCTTAATACCTCTCAGAAGCAGAGCCCTAACTTGTTCATTTAGAAACTGCAGGTATCATATGAATCTTCGCCCAGATGTCAGTTGCTAAATGTGAATAGACTAAGCTTTGAAAAATGGTTAACTATGTCCCCTTCTCCACCGAAATCTATCTTGAAACTACACAGAGCTGTTGTAAGCAAGCCTTGAAAGGTTACAGAAAGAGGAACTCTGTCTCAGTCTTTCTGTCTGTCTATGATTATAATCTCTATCTTTTGGCTGTGGGAGCTTGTAGGCAGGGAAGGATAGAAAATTCTTAAATAACATTCAGAAGGTGGAGACGTAATCATTCTGGTAGCGTGTGGTAGAAATTTAAAATAATCTCATGGTAATAATTGTTATCAAGGCAGTAATGAGGAAAGAATAACAGTTTAAATAAATAATTAGACTTGACAGTAGATGTGTCAACAGGTACTTACTTAATGAATGTAATCATTGTTTTTCTCTACTTTCAACATTGATCCACCAACTGCAGCATGTTCCCTGTCCTTTTTCCAAACCAAATCTATTTAAAAGCTGTACTTCATGGAATCTGAAATGGTATACCCTGTTTACTCTTTAGAGCTGATACCTAATATTTTTTAATAGGCAAGTTCACAAGAACAGGCTTCTGCCCTCCTGTAGACCGATTATCCCTGCTTTCCACGGAGTGATTCATTAGCAAGGATGAATAATAATTAATTCTCATGGACTTGTCAATATTGCTAGCATGAATTGTTTAGTATAATATGGGGGAAACAGCTCTCGTGTATCTTAAATAAATTTAATCAGTTATTATTATTATTATTGTTGTTGTTGTTATTTTCTTTTGAATTGGAAGTAGAGGCAATATTTATAAATGAATTTACTTCCTTAGCAACCCAGATAGAATCTCATTGTTTTGAGGACAGAATCTAGTTCTAATTCCAGCGCTGATGGCAACAGGGCTGTGCCACCTGGGGCAAGTCATCTGCCTTCTCTGAGGTCCATTTCAAGATCTAACAATAGACAAAGTTTTACCAGTTGATCCCAATGTTTCATCTACTTAACTGTTCTACTATCTATTCTTTTATTTCCTAGCCAGTCCCTTTTCCCTCTCTCTGCCATGTTTCCAAAATCCTGACTCTACTACATAGCCATGTATGACAATAGTTTTTCTCCTTTTAAAAGAAGCTTTTGCTTCTTTTATATACCAGGAAAGCAGTTAGCGATTTGAATTATGTACATCCTATACTTCTACTTTATTTATACCTTGGTTGTCTCCTAGCCCCATGCAATTTCTTTTTTATTTTACTATTTAACTTTATTTTTTGAGACAGGTTTTTTACTATGTAGTGGATGTTGGCCTCGAACTGAACCCTAATTTTCTCCCCTAGCCTGCCCAGTGCTGGCTCCATTCAGTTTCAACTTAGAAAGGAAAGAAAAAAAAAACCTGAAACCATCTCCCCCTATTTTATGACATTGTTCTGGGCCTCATTTTTTAGAGTATTTAGTAAACTCATCCACTAAAAACACTGTTAAGAAGAGGTGGATTGCTCTTTTGTTTGACCTTTTCGGGGTGAATCACTGGACTTAAAAGGAGAGGTCACAATGGTAACCAGCTATTCTACTTCAGAAATGGAGATTTGGGTGTCAAGTAGGGAATCCAGTTTATGTGCTTTGTTGGTAGTTTATGTGCTTTGTTGGTAGCCAATGTTGGACTAAAATTTTCTTTTTTGACTTCATAGCTATATCTTTGCCTTTGTTCGTAAAGCTCTACCTGTGAATGGCCTTTCTCTGCCCAGTGTTTAAAGGGCCATTGTCTTTCACAAAATATCAATTTTAGTGTCAGTGCAGAGATGTGCGATGTCCTTGAAGTGTAAGTGGACTTCAGACATCTTCTTTAGTTGCTTGGAGTTGTGGCACAGATGGTTCTGGCTGCCATCTGCAATCTGTTTTTGTTAGAAGAATGTGGATCTCCCTGAAAATTGTTTTTCCCTGACCTCACCACTTTGTCCTCCTTCCACCTCTTGCTCTCTTCTGGTCCAGTGAATTATGGGAAGTTGAGGATGAGCTCCTAGTTGGCTGTTTAGTGCCCATAGTTAGGAGCATTAACAAAGAGAAGGTGAAGGGTTAATAAGCCAAAGGACAAGTGAGTGTTAGCTAACACAGTGAAATTTACTTCAGGACCTGCTATTCTCAATTGCTGGGGCTGCACAAGATTTATAGTACAGTTAATTTTTCAGACCCTTTTTCTGACTTGTTCTAATGGGACTGGGCTGGGACTGAGAAGCAGCTGGTATAATCTTTGCCAAAACCAAATTCATATTTTCATGAACTCCACAGTCGAGAAAAGAGAGTAATAGTTATCTATCAAGTAGAAGATAATTTAGAGGTCACTCAGCACACAGAAGGTGAGCCGCTCCCGGCACACAAGAGGAGGGTTCTGGGCCGCCTTACTACCCCCACCAGCACACAGGAGGTGAAATGCACCCCTCCCCACCTCCATTGAAATGAGAAGACATGCATACAAGTCTCAAAACCAGAATTCCAAATCACCTACAGCAACCCTAAAGGGAAACAAGATGGAACACTCTGATACTCAACCACCTGGACTCCCTGAACTGGCAACAAAAGAGGAT